GAGGTCAGGAGATCGAGACCATCCTGGCTAACACGGTGAAACCCCGTCTCTACTAAAAAATACAAAAAACTAGCCAGGCGAGGTGGCGGGCGCCTGTAGTCCCAGCTACTCAGGAGGCTGAGGCAGGAGAATGGCGTGAACCCGGGAGGCGGAGCTTACAGTGAGCTGAGATCCAGCAACCGCACTACAGCCTGGGCGACAGAGCAAGCCTCCATCACATTTAAAAAAAAAAAAATAGACCCATGAAACAAAACAGCACCTAAAGATAACATATCAAAGATACCTTATCAGAAATTAGCATACTTACAAATCTATAAACAAATTAAGACAGCATGGTATTGGCACGGGAATGACAGATTTATCAATGAAACAGAAGACTAGAAATAACCCCAATATATACAGAAACTTAGCATCTGATAAAAGTGCTATATCAAAAACAGTTATTATATTATTAAATAAATGATGTTGGACAACTATATAACCATCTCAGGGGGAAAAAAGTCAGACCTATAGCTTACCAAAACAAATTCTAGATGGATCAAAAGATTTAAATATACAAGTATTTTTTTAAAAACTCTACTGTAAAAAATGCCATGGGAAAACACTTTCATAATTCTGGACGGAGGTAGGTGGGGAAGGGTATCTTTTTATTTATTTATTTATTTCAAGACAAAGCCAGGCTGTAGTGTAATGGGATGATCTCAGCTCACTGCAACCTCCAACTCCTGGATTCAAGCAATTCTCTTAGCTCAGCCTCCCGAGTAGCTGGGACTACACGCGCATGCCACTATGCCTGACTAAATTTTGTATTTTTGATAGAGACGGAGTTTTGCCATGTTGGCCAGGCTGGTTTCGAACTCCTCACCTCAGGTGATCCGCCCGCCTTGGCCTCCCAAAGTGCTGGGATTACAGGTGTGAGCCACTGCACCCAGCTGGGAAGAGGACCTTTTTAAACTACCTGAAAGCAGAAAGCTATAAAAGATTGACAAATTAATCTAAACAGAAATAAAAAATGCCTGCTTGGCAAAAACCACCATACACAAAATCAAAAGACAAATGACATACAGAGAAAAAAAAAATTGCAGTCTTTATCACAAAGGGCCTTTTTCCCTGAATATAATAACTACTACAGGACAGGCGCAGTGGCTCATGCCTATAATTCCAACACTATGGGAGGCGAGGCGAGCAGATGGTTTGAGGCCAGGCATTTGAGACCAGCCTGGCCAACATGGCGAAATCCCGTCTCTACTAAAGATACAAAACTTAGCTGGGTGTTGTGGCATGCATCTGTAATCTCAGCTGCTCGAGAGGCTGAGACAGGAGAATCACTTGAACCCAGGAGATGCAGGTTGCAGTGAGCCAAGATCACGCCACTGCACTACAGCCTGGGTGACAGAGTGAGTGAGACTCTGTCTCAAAACAAAACAACAACAACAAAAAAACTCACAACTTTGGCAATGATAAGCAAGACTGATAAAATCTATGATCTCAGAAAATAAGTCTAACAAATAATACAAAATGTTTTAAAAAGTTTAAAGATATTCTTTACAAAAGTACCCCTTTCAAAGGCTCATGCTATTCAATAGATGCTCACCAGCCTTTTCTATGTTGAGATCTTAAGTCACCCCAATATTTTTACAAAGTCTTTGATACAGGTTTACAGATTTTTCCATCCCAATACTTGCCATTGGATAGCTTCAGGAGACATAGAAATGAAACATGTGAACAAATTCTAGTTTTACAGTTCCTTAAATTCTTGTGGGTGTCAGCACTGCTTCCTTTTGCTTCCACAAGTCAGAAGGGTCTCTAGATTAAAGGAATGGCTATTAAGTGTCCATTTATGGTTAGTTCAACGGCTCTGTACTAACTTAACTGTAACTTCCTGACTCAACACCTTTTCTTCTTCCATTATGGAGGAACACGATGGAGAGAAGGATGGGAGTTACCCTAAAAAAATTTCTGACATCAAATAAAAATAACAAATTACTATGTTTTCCCTAGTCGAATCTCATAACCAACCCATCTCATACAAACAATAAAATACAGTAGTTATCACATACCTGAGTTGCTGAGCTGCTAATATTCTTAGATTGAGTATTAATAACACTTGGAGATGGAAGCGGATCAGAGGAATCTTGATTTTTTTTCTGGCTTTCATTGAATGGATTAGATCTTTTCAATTTCTGTCTTAACGCAGGTATAAGAGGTTTTAGGCGTTTCTTACTATGGACCTGCATAGGTTCGTCAGACTCCAAACTATTCTTTGAACATATTAAAGATAAGAATCCCAGGGGTCTTCTGCCAGGTCTAGAAATACAAATGTAAAGATAGTCAAGAATATCCAGGAAGACACATTCCTTTGTTTTTTTTTTTTCTTTTGAGACACAGTCTCACTCTGTCACCCAGGCTGGAGTGCAGTGACACGATCTCGACTCACTGCAACCTCCACCTCTCGGGTCCAAGATATTCTCCTGCCTCAGCCTCCCAAGTAGCTGTAGTAGAGACGGAGTTTCACCATGTTGGTCATGCTGGTCTCGAACTCCTGACCTCGTGATCTTCTCACCTCAGCCTCCCAAAGTGCTGGGATTACAGGCGTGAGCCACTGTGCCCGGCCAAGACACATCCTTAATAACTGCTTCTGCTTCGCAAGGCTAAGGTGGGAGGACCGCTTAAGGCTAGGAGCTCAAGAACAGCTTACACAAAATTAGCAGGACCCTGGTCTCTAGAATATCTCTAGCATTCAAATCACTTGGTGATCTTATTAAAAAGAAGATTCGCATAGTTGGTAGTGGGCATGGCCTGAGTTCTGCATTTTAACAAGTGTTCTCAAATGATGTCCATACTGCTGTTGTCAGGACTACACTTTGAGTAGCAAGGCTGTGGAACAGTGGTCAGCATGGTATGCTCTACAGGCCATATGCAGTCCCCGACCCAATTCTGTGAGTACGTTTTACTGGAACACAGCTATGTTCATTTGTTTACATATGGTCTGTGGTTGCTTTTGTGCTGTAATTGCAGAGTTGAATAGCTGTTAACAGAGACCATATGGCTCCCAAAGCCTAAAATATGTACAAATGCCATTTTACAAAAAATGCTGTCTTCTGTTCTAGAACACTGCTTCTCAACCTGTTTTAATCCCAGCTCTCATGATGGTTCCCTCATTTTATTTATTTTTTCTTTCTTTTTGTTTTCTTGAGACGGAATTTCACTCTTGTTACCCAGGCTGGAGTGCAATGGCGCAATCTTGGCTCACCACAACTTCCACCTCCTGAGTTCAAGCGATTCTCCTGCCTCAGCCTCCTGAGTGGCTGGGATTATAGGCATGTGCCACTATGCCCAGCTAATTTTGTGTTTTTAGTAGAGATGGGGCTTCTCCATGTTGGTTAGGCTGGTCTGGAACTCCCAACCTCAGGTGATCCGCCCACCTCCGCCTCCCAAAGTGCTGGGATTACAGGCATAAGCCACCACACCCAGCCTTTTTTTCCTTTTTTCAGAGACCGGTCTGGCTATGTTGCCCAGGCTGGAGTGCAGTGGCTATTCGCAGGCACAATCATAGCTCACTGCAATCTCAAACTCCGGCCTCAGCCTCCTGGGTAGCTGGGATTACAGGCATGTGCCACTGTACCTGGGAATCATTCTATTTTCAGCGCATCTCTAAGGCCAGAAGAGATACTACTGAGCTTTACTTTCAATAATTTAGATAACAAAAACAACAGACCTATTAAGTATGTCTTTTAAGCTACATGTGTCCTTTCCCCCAACCCTTCCCCTTAGTGGAGACTAGTGCATGTTCCCCCACCTCCTTCAATTCAGCAACACCACGTTAATCTTCTGGATGCTGCTGACAAGCCAATAATGATTGATAACCATTGTTTCTAGAATATGAGAAAAATGTGAGAGAAGTTGGCTTTTGTTTAAGTTCCAACACTTATTCTAATGGACAGAAAGCCATAATTTACCTCTTCGGTTTGTTACAGGGGAGAAAACTGACACATTATTTGAGACTTCAATAAAACAACGTCTGATGTCAGCATCCATATATATGTGCATTAGTAGCTACTGCACATGGTAGAATATGTAATGTAATGAATATGTAATGATGAAAATAACCATGAACAATCTAAAAAAATAAGTGTATAAAACATTCTAAAGATTTTCTATCTAAAACAAAGTTTCAGCACTTAAATTTAAGCTCTTATTGTACAAAACGTGTATCTGCAATATTACTGTATTTCCTTGGCTGAAACTTCTTCCTTTACATTACTAATGGAGCAATATGTTTATTAAACACCATCCTTAGTACTGGATCTAATCTTGAGATATATATATATATATATATATCTGTTCTGTATAGGTTATATTTATTAAGACAGAGAGCACAACACTTATTAAATATGTTTTCATGGTACCTGAATAATGGGGCTTTAGAAGATGATGTTCTGTTATCCATTTGCTCAGACTTAGGAGCAGCATCAGTTCTTTCTTCCTTATCAGACACAATCATTTCATCCTGAGGTAACAGAGGCACATTCTTGTCTATGCATGCATCAGGAGATCTAGATCCTCTACTCTGAAAAGCTGGTTCAACTTGCTGTCTTTGAGGTTCTGGAGTTGTCAGTGTGCTTCCCGAGGTAGGAAAAATATCTTGTCCTTTGTGAGACTCCCCTTCAAAAAAAAGAGCAAATGGAAAGCAAGGATATTGATGTTAATACATTCCATGTAATCCCAAAATTTGACCAAGAAACCCATGGTATTCTATAATAAACCTACCCTATTAAGAGTAAGCTAAATTATCATTAGTGGAGTTATCTGGATTATTATTATTATAATTGGTTAAAAGGTATGCTAACAGCTTCTGCATTCAGAAACAAAATAGTTATATCAATATATTTTGGCCTAGAAAATCTTTTCCCAGAAATATTTCTTGAGCAATCACAACGGGAGTGATTACTTTCTAAAAAATCTAAGGTTTGTTAAAATTTAGAAACCAAACCAATTCAAAATATAGGTGGTAACTCAGGTACCTGTGGTCTCCTGAAAAGTAAAACCTACAGGCTCTCAAATACTCAAGTTTAGCTAAAGAATTCTCTTTCCTTAACTAAATAGCAGACAAAACCAAAGTAGCCAAGGATTAGGACAAAATAACTAAAGCTTTCTTACTCAATAAAAAAACCTGTTTTCCCTCAGTATAGCTAAGGCCTTGTTCTCAAAGAGAGCGCTTTAGCTCTGTGAAGGGAGAATGAAGTTGATAAGTACACCTGCTAAAAGAAACAACCTAATTAAAGACAGCATATAACAAATTCACTAACACTTCACTGTATTGTAGTTTACTTAATGCTTTTATTGGAGAGCAGATGGATGGGAGCAATCTTAGAACATCTCTACAGACTGTAAACTGTAACCATATTACAGTTTCACAGTCAAAGTTGGGACAATTAAGTCTAAGACCGTATTAACATTATAAGAGTTTTTCTGTTTTTGTTTTTTTGAAACAGAGTCTTGCTCTGTCACCCAGGCTGGAGTGCAGTGGCGTGATCTCGGTTCACTGCAACCTCTGTCTCCCGGGTTCAAGCAATTCTCTCGCCTTAGCCTCCTGAGTAGCTGGGATTACAGGCATGCACCACCACGTCTAACTAATGTTTGTATTTTTAGTAGAGACAGTGTTTCACCATGTTGTCCAGGCTGCTCCCGAACTCCTGACCTCAAGTGACCCACTCACCTTGGCCTCCCAAAGTGCTGGGATTACAGGTGTGAGCCACTACGCTCGCTACGCTCAGCCCATTAAATGTGTGGGTTTTTTGGTTTTGTTTTGTTTCTGAGACAGAGTTTCACTCTTGTGGCCCAGGCTGGAGTGCAATGGTGTAATCTCAGCTCACCGCAACCTCTGCCTCCCAGGTTCAAGTGATTCTCCTGCCTCAGCCTGCCAAGTAGCTGGGATTACAGGTGCCTGCCACCACGCCCAGCTAATTTTTGCATTTTTAGCAGAGAGGAGGTTTTGCCATGTTGGCCAGGCTGGTCTCCAACTCCTGACCTCAGATCATCCACCTGCCTCGGTCTCCCAAAGTGCTGGGATTACAGGCGTGAGCCACCACGCTCAGTCAAGTATTTTTTGTTTGTTTTTTGAGACAGAGTTTTGCTCTGTCACCCAGGCTGGAGTGCAGTAGCATGATCTTGGCTTGCCGCAACCTCCATTTCCCAGGTTCAAGCAATTTCCTGCCTCAGCCTCCCAAGTAGCTAGGATTACAGACGCCCACCACCAGGCCTGGCTAATTTTTTGTATTTTTAGTAGAGATGGGGTTTCGCCATGTTGGCCAGGCTGGTCTTAAATTCCTGACCTCAGGTTATCCACCCACCTCAGCCTCCCAAAGTGCTGGGATTACAGGCATGAGCCCCTGCGCCTGGCCCATTATTAAGTGTTTTTAAAGAACCAGAACCATCATAGGTTATCAAACCCTTCCATCTTGTAACTCTAACTCTTGTAAGATGCCATCAGCAACATTTTTATTCTTGAGTGCCATTGTTATGGTAAAGCAGTGGCTATATGTATGAATGATAAGCCTAAGTTTGAGAGAAAAGAGAAATGATGTCATAAAAGAAATGAAAAATAAAGAGTTGTACAAAACACAGGATAAATGTGACTAGCGCCTTTAGTCATGAGGGAAATAGACCCTAAGTGGTTTAATGTCCCACAGAAATTTTAGATTCCTATAAAAATAGAAGACTCTAAGATCTTTTCAGCTTCCGTAGGTGGCTTAAGCCTGAAAAGATCTCTAGAACAAAACTAATTTTCCGGGTAAGAACCTATTATGAATGCCATTATAGGCCACAGGTGGTGGCTAATGCTTATGATCCCAGCACTTTGGGAGGCTGGGGCAGGCAGACTGCTTGAGGCCAGGAGTTCAAGACCAGCATGGGCAACATGGCAAAACCCTCTCTCTACAAAAGTACATTCAAGACCAGGCTGGGCAACATGGCGAAACTCTGTCTCTATAAAAAATACAAAAATTCCGAGGCGGGCAGATCACGAGGTCAGGAGATTGAGACCATCCTGGCTAATACGGTGAAACCCTGTCTCTACTAAAAATACAAAAAATTAGCCTGGCGTGGTGGGGGCGCCTGTAGTCCCAGCTACTAGGGAGGCTGAGGCAGGAGAATGGCATAAATCCGGGAGGTGGAGGTTGCAGTGAGCCGAGATCACGCCACTGCACTCCAACCTGGGCAACAGAGCAAGACTCCATCTCAAAAAAAAAAAAAAAAAA